ATGATGACATAAGTGGATCTCGATCAACTGGTGACAAGAAAGCAGTCAGAAAAGGAGAACATTTCACATATGAGATGTATGGATGCTAGCTTTGGAACAGGCTGCAGGGAGCTGCAGAGACTGCAGGCCCATGGCCTCTCAGTCCTGCCTGAGAAGCTAGCCTGGGAATTAAACAATCCTCAGAGACAGAAAACAACTGCCAGGTGTTGTTTATCTGTCCTCTTGTTTCCTCTTGCAAGAGAGGGTCAGGGGGGTAGAGTGCCCCTGACCAATGATGGTGATGTAGCACTTTGTTAGCCAATAAGAGTTTCTTTTCTGTACTTTCCACGTTATCTGTCTATAAGACAGGCCTGAAGCAATAAACTAAAGGAATTCTCGTGTTGAAACTCCCTTGAGAGTCCAGTGTCATTCTTTCTAGCCATTCCCAATCGGAACGACAGAGATGCAGTGCAGCACATATGAAGAAAATGACAGCCTTGGGACAAGGGGAACAGACAAATGGGGCAAGCAGACAGAATTGAGGTAAACTCTGCTGGCAGAAGTAGCAGGTTATGCAATGAGCAGACAAGAAAGAAAAGTCAGGGATGTAACTCAATCTGGGGAACATGCCAAAGAACTGTGTCACTAACATTTTTAAGACCCCTGGGCCTGTTCTGTACACAGTGGTGAGCACAAAAACCCTTCAAAGGATGGTAAGAAAACAGAAGGAATTCTCAAGCAGATGCTAATCGTGCTACAGGAAGATCACTGCTATGCAATACAAACCGCAACAGCCATGGGCAGCAGCTGACCATGACGTTTTCTGCAAGTCTTTGAAGAAAAGGTAGCTCTTTTTTTTTTTTCCTCAAGTAAGATTAGAATTCACCTGCAGTAACTGCTTCTCAAAAACAGCTATTCCACACCTCATGGCCTCTAGACTTCACACTGGGAAAGTGATGTATGGTTGGAAGAATATCCCAGACATCAATGAAGCATCTTGCTTTCTACTAGAAAACCCATTCCGATAATTAGACAAAACCCTAACTGCTCATTCTTTAAAATGCTTTTCAAAAATTTTATGCTAAGAAATTCTTACCTTGTCTGTAGTTAGTATAGTCTCCAGACCTCCCAATTATTTCCCACTTGCAAGGACAATCCTCCCAGCTTGGACTCCAGCCCAGACAAAAGTAACACCCCATCTAAAGAGCAGCTGTTGGACTGGAAGCCTGGAGATTACCATGAGTTAAAATTTCTTCATTTCAATATCCACAGCTTTCCATACTTTACAATCCCATATTCTTGAAAAAGTTCTGCTGAAGAGTCACCTAAAATTGCCATCCTCAGCAAGCTGACCAAATTTACACCCAAAATCTGGAGCAAAGCTGGGAATGGATGTCTGTCACGGATATGCCAGTTTGTCCTGGGCCAGCATATTCTTACCATAATCAGCACATCAGTCAACGTGGAATTGCATGTTTCACTAATTCCAAAAACAGAGAGTAAAACTTATCATTCAAGTATTTGACATGGATGTCCATCAGTGCCTTCTAACTCTATAGAACTACTCCAAGTAGGTAAGTAAAGACAGTTCAGCAACCAAAAGAAGTTAAACTAGCAGTGGAAATGGCTGTTTCTTTGTGCAGAGGTATCAACACATGGCTTAAAGTTCAACACTCAGAGAATTACAGTTCAGAGATGCTGACAAACAAGTACTTGCGACAAGTAACTTAATGAATTCTCTTTCTGCAATCACACTAATAAAGCTCAAAACCAGAACGAGGCAAGATTTAGGAAGATGCAAATTATAGAACTGAGATGATTTTACTCGCATTATAACTGATTTTGAACAGTGTCCTCAAATTCACAAATCTATTAGGTCTCCAATCCAGCAAAGGATATAAGTATGTGCTTTAGTTTTAAAGTACTCAGATGCTTGAAAGTTTGGTGGACCACCCACAACTATCAATGTGTCCTGTCATTCAGTATTTTACTAGGCTGGGCCACAGAATATCCAAGAGCACAGGCAGGACATACTGAAATCAAGTGTGCACAGTCTGTTTTTTTTGCTTGCATCATTTATTTATATAGTAACTTTTCAAAATGTTTATATACAACAGTGTTCTTTAAAGAAGTGAAAAATACATCCATTAGACAATGTCAATATCTAAAAGATAATCAGCAGAAAGACTGAGAAGGACAGGAGATTTATCTTTCTTTTTCACTCTTGAAATAAAATGAGCTTTTAAATTGGCAGCTTCCCTTTCACATTCAGTTTGCTGAAACTAATTTTCACCTCCAGATTCACAGATCCTTAACCCCTTCCAGGATCTTTTAAAATTCCGTCTCTTTGCCAGCACATGCACGTAACACCGATGCTCAATGCTAAAAGTCAGCAGGTTCTCAATTGACAGGGAGATCAGCAATGATCTGATCTTAATAAATGCTGATCTTAATCAGCAATTTAACTTCACAGACATCAACAAAACCCCTTAAAAATAAGCGGTTTTCATGATCAGATACATTAAAATTATTCTGCACACTGTTGGCTATTATTAGTAATAGCCTTATTAATAATAAATAGCCTTATTTTTCTAGAGATTGTACAAATCCATAAATGAGCAATGCCTGACCTAAATATTTAACATAAGTAATTTATTTTCATAAATCTATACAGGAGTAGAACAAAATAAATATTTAATAAATACATTTAATAGTAAATGTTTTCAGGATTTTGTTTGTGGGGAATAGGAATTAAGAGAGGAAAAATCACCCACTGAACTAACTTTGCTGTCTTTTCAGTCTTTGCCTTAAGAAGCAAATGTAATTTTTCTCATGTACTTGCTATGAAAAATGTTGTTACTATTCACAAAAAACAGCACTGTCCATTACGAAAGACTAAAGGAACAATATACACCACAGAAAAAGTGCTTGTGAACTAAAACAAACAGTTGCAACAGAATTCCTTGCTTCCACAAAGCTTGGCAATGAAACCTGTCAGAAGCCAGACAGTCAAATTTTGCAAAGGAAATTAAAGAAAATTGCAAATGAGACAGGAAGAAGAACACAGAAATATATTATCTAACTCTGTCTCGAAATTAAATTAGTATTTTGCCTCAGAACATGATGGCAAAGTAGGACAGATGAACAACAGCTCTAGAAATAGAAATTGCCACATGTGACCTGGAGGTAAGAGCTGAACAGTCAAGTCCAAGAGATCAGATGATGCTAATTCTAAAACACTGAGAGTTTACCAAAGCATGTTACCACAGAAACCTGGTATCATTCCTGATGGCATTTTGTAAGGAGCACAAGAACTTGAAGTCCAAGCAGAGTAGTCAGGGGAATGAAAACCTTACAAAAGTGACGACCACTATTTGTTCATTCCATGTAAATACATCTGCAAGGAAAGGTGCAAGAATGAAGACAACTGTTGTAGGTAAAATATAATTTCGGAACAACAGACCAAAGAAGTATGACCTACAAATCCTAGAAATCTGGAATACCTTCTCTGTAGTGCAATGGGATGGACTATGATAGTAAATCATGCTTGATAATTCTATAACCATGATTCAACAGGAAAGTTGCCTCTACTAGAATAAAATGTGTTATGATCTAGATAGGAGCTGTTTTCCAGTCCCATGATGTAACTTAACGTATTTCATTAGGAGTATTCTCCTCCTCTCACGACAGAATGCTAAAAATGGTCCTTTTAGTTACTGAGTTAAATGAACAAAATAATTTCAAGCTTTTAATTAAAGACTAATGTGTCAGAAGCAGGAAGAGGAAGAGACATTTGCTAGGAGTACAAGGCACAAACTTGCAGTTGCAGATCTGCACAGCTGAGCTTAAGCTGCCTTATATCCTTCCCAGTAGGAATGCAACAGGAGCTTCTACTGAAGAGTGAAATTAATGAAGACTTATTTTTTGTATAAATAATTAATTTCTGTGGTCTTGAGGATGAAAAAATTCAATACATTCAATGTATTTCCATGCATTCCTCATAATAAACTAGGAGAGATGGTGACTGCTAAAGCAGAGAGGAATTGGAACTGATTACACGAGTTTTACGTCAAAGGGAATCCCCAGGTCACTGATCAGACAAGCTTTCCATTTTCCCTCCCTGCTAGAAATGACATGTCAATCGTCTGTCACAGCAGTATGGATAAAAAGGTGAAAGGAGAGAGAACTATGACACTAGATGATGAGAAAAACATTAATCTTGATTGTACATAATCCTTGGCTTAGCTGAGTGCAAGATTTATAATGAACAGCAGAACTTTTCTTTCAAAAGATTCTTGCTCTCCACTCTGCTCTTTATTAAAACTATCAGAGGTTTGGAGCTTTAAAGTTTTTATTTTTCCCTAGTGAAAACATTAACACAGATCTAAGATATGGAAATGGGTCAGCTAATGCTTGTCTTTGAAAAGCAGCTTTGCAGTGCTCCTTTCATTGTGAAATAGCAATGACACGACCATCAGCAGTAATTAAAGACTTAAAGTACCCCACTTTGCAAATGTCCAAATTGAAGCATCCTAAAAAATGCCTGATTTTCAGGAGAGACAGTGTTTAAAAAAACTGCATCCTCTAACAGGTGTCTCAAGCTTTCTACTCAAAATCTTTAGCATTATTTTAATATATTTTGCCCTGAATGTCAAATAAAACACACACAAAGAAGCAGTATGAGAATGAAAACTCATTTTATTCACCCACTTAAGAGGCCTCCTCCATCTCATTCAGCAATGTTAAAGTTTCTACAAAGCTGTAGGGTAACAATCACTGGAACACCATTAGTCTTGGGTGTCACAAAAGCAGGGACAATATTTGCCAGGTATTTACATTTTCACTGAATTTATCATTTAAATGAAATCTTCCATTTAACTGAAATTATTTTAATGAAAACACCCTGGACAAGCCAGAAGAGCTGCAATAAAGGTTGATATTAACAGCAACGAAGTCAAAATACATAGGTCTGGGACTCACCTGTCAGATTCAGGACACAATAAAAGAGAGAATATACTTACTGAAACTTTCCACAAGGTCAAGGGCAACCTGAGTAGCCACATCCATTCCAGAGTTGATGTAGGACTGGCAGTTTTTCAAAGAAGAAAGAGCAGAATCAATTGCACTGAACGAGATCCTTGGACCACCTGACATCTTGAAATTGTTACTCTAGAAATAACAGGGAGAACATATTAAAAAAAGCTGCACACAAAGAGTTTGTGATAGAAAACCTAAGTTCTAAGAGATAGCTAAACATAAAGCAGTGTCAACAGAATCACTGAAACATTAGGGAGCAGGGATGAAAACTTAGCTCCCAAGATATCAGTAATTTCAGTGAAAGTGCAATGCCTCACAGGTTTCAATTCACCTCCTATTCAGTATTAAGCAAAACTACACCTAAAAAGCAACTGGCAGTTCTCCTCTGCTCATTTCTATCACTGAACGACAGTGAAGTTCAAACTCCACAACTATGTCTGCTTGAAAACTACTGCTCTATTTCAGATCCAAAAAAAGATCCAAAAAAGCCCACATGTCCAAAAACTTGTCTGGGTTATCCAGGCATATAATCAATTAGGCTAGGAAGAAATGTGATTTCTCACATTCAATTTAGTTTCACCAGCAGCTGGCCCTTGGAAAAAATAAGATCTAACAAAGGACCATTCTAAGAATCTTCTTAAAACATCTAGCAGCATTTTTATATAAAAGCCCACCTTAAAAATGCTGCTTACTTTTGCCAAAGCTGCCACAAACTTTTAGCACCCGCATTCCATTAGCACAAAATAAAAGTCACACAGGTGCTATTGTTTATCTTCCTTACCACCCTCTGGTTCTGCAATACACACCCACAGCCTACACCCTTGTGGGGATTAGCTCCTCTGCTATTAGCAGCAGCGATTATTAATAGCTCTATATTATTAGGTTTTTTTAATTAAAAAAAATTTGCATAAGCAAAAACACTCAAAGGTTCTAATAATTGTTATTATTAGAACCTTCAAATGTTTTTGCTTATGCTGTGCCTATCCACTCTGCTCCCATACATTTGTTTCCTCACAAAAATCCCCAATTTTTGCTCTTCCTTCTTCATCCTTTGCCATAACCCACTCAGACAACATGTAGCTACTGTGAGAAACGTGAACCTCGTGTGCAGAATTTTATACTTCAATTTGCAGGTTAGAAAAATTCTGCTTCAGCTTTAGATGCACCCAAAAAAAAGAAGAGAAATAGGCAAAGCAGAACTCTTAGATAAATAGAAATACTGCATTATTCCATGTAAAGAATAACTAATATGTTCAAGGACTATATTGAGACAACATTGGGGAAGATAGCAGAATCCACAAACAAATTTGGGGTATACTAGAAAGGGAACAGTTGTTCTATCAGTAACAGCCTTTAACAGGGTCTTTAACAGATTGTTGTTTAATCCAGCAGCAATCTGGAAAACCTCTAAATAGAAAGTACAAATAGAATTAGAATAGATATACATAATATACAATAAAAAGTTTTGTATACCTAAGGCTGTATCTCTACTGCTTTCCCTCAAACTCCAGAACTTCTTGTGTTCCCCCTAACCTGAACAACATTGACACATTCCTCACAAGTACTATGCAGACTGTGAGACCTGAAGACCTGGTGTCTCCTAATGTTTATTTCCTATCATTTTCCTTTATTTTCATTTATAAAATGTGCTTGGCCAGTGAATACTATCTTTTAGTACACCATCTTTAGGTCATGTGCTTCCAGCAACATTTTGTTGAAAGTTCAATCTCACCACAAACTGCACTTCTTAATTACATGCAAATTTGTCTTCCTCTCTATCCCCTTCTAAAGATACATCTTTCCACAGATGCAGCAGGCTTCAACTACAGCTCTTGTTATGTCAGCTCATGCTCTCCCTGACAGAAGACTGTGACTACTATCATTAGAGACCTTGAGAGGCTGTCAAACTGACAACAGAAGACAAGGGAAAAGTTCCTTATAGAACTCCCTAAAACTAAAGAAAAAGGATGCTCTTGAAGATTTAATAACAAATTCCTTCAGCTAGTATATTATTTAACATTTTTTTAAGGTACTTGTTTGCTATCTTAGCAAGACTGTTTGTATAGGATCTCTATGATCCAAATATACACTATTGAATAGTCACATAAACTTATGTGAGAAACTTTATCTTTCTGAGCCAAATTTATGTATCAAAGTTAACAAAGAGAGCCTAATTCCTCTCTTGAACTTGGTAAATCTCACTGAGAAAGCCTGCTGTTCTTTTGGAAATTTCACAGATACACACTGTGAAAGCAGGAATCTGGAAAAAAAGAAACCAACAGTGAAAAGTTAAAAAGGCTCCTTCATTCTCATGAGCAAATACATAGAAGCAGATGTTACTGGTTATGACATTAAATCATATCATTGCAGTGGTAGGTTCATCTCAATCTGTCTTTTGGAAAGTGATTCCTTTTAGATGAATTTTCCTTTTTTTGTTTTTTAATAAAAGATTATTTTTCTTAGAAACTGGTTACAATCCTGTAATGCCCCAGCCTACTTGATGGGTTCAGGGGAAGGCAGTGGGATATACCCTGGGCAGTGCACAGGAAAAACAACCAGATTACCAGGAGACTCCATAACAACTTTTACTTGCAAACTTTAGAATATTCAAGTAGAATAAGATATTTGCCAAATTTTAAAACATCCAGACAAAATAAGGCACTTCCCAAACTTTAGCTCAGCAAACTTTAACTTCTCTAGACACAAGAAGACACTAGAACTTTTCAGCCCAGATTACAACATATTTTGAGAAGAACGTGTAAGAACACCAGAAAGAAAAAGAAAATGGAGAGAAAAAGGTAAATGGCCACCACCCAGGATCCAGAATTGTCTCAGCAGCTTCTAAACCCCAGGCAGTAGAGTGTGTTTGGCACACATGTTGTTTTCCTTTTATCTCCTACACTCTGCCACTTCAGGGATTACAGGCCCTGTTCCCCCACCACTTCCCAGCTGCCTGTCTTGAGCCAGTCAGCTACTCCTCAGGTCTCCTAAAGATCCCAAGGCAAAGATTTCACTCTTGAACTTTCTAAGTGAATCCTTCAACTTCAGCTTGGAGCTGTCCATTCTACCTTCCAAGGGAGAGGCACATTCCTAGCTGGAATTGGTTTCTCTGCAGTGTTTGTAACACGCTCTTTTCTGCCAGGAAGGTTTTCAGTGGGTGTATCCAAGAACTTATCATTTGCAACCCCCAACCCCCTCACTTCTGGAAAACACAACCAGCAAACTCCGTGGTGAATGAGAGATTATCGAGGGCATTTTTTTTTTCTTTCACCAAGTGATCAAATGGTAGAGACAGGATAAAGAACAAAAAAAAGCTGCAGTTCCTATTCTGCTCCCTACTTTAAATATTTGAGAAAATGACCTAAACTTTCTATGCTTCCAAATCTCAAACTATGAAGCAGAGGTAAGAAAAAAGTATTATTTGCTTCTGTAACTGCGGCTCAGCCAGTGTCAAATTCTCTCCGAGGACCAGGATGAGCGTCCAGCACCAGGCACACTCGGTGATGAGCTGCCACAGGGAGACAGACGATCCTTCCCGCTACGGGCGTGGGGAGCAGGGTCCAGAGCCGAGCAGGAAGCTCGGAGCCCTCAGGCCCTCTCGCCGCCTGGGCCGGTCCAGGACAGGCCGGGCAGCCCGGTCAGTCCCTCGCGGACGGACCCGGCCCTCGGACCCGGCCCGGAGCGCTGCCCTCTCCCGCGGAGGGGCCGGCAGGGACAGCCACCCTCTCCAGCGGCCGCTGCTCACCTCT